CGTTTTCCTCCATTCTCCTCTCGGGATCTTGGGCACACACGCACACGCGCCAGGCGTGAGTTTAAGCCACCAGGTCCAGGACTCGAACCGCAGTCGACTACACGGGAGTTCAGCGACATAGCCATTATGCCAACTGCTGGTCCCCCTCCCTGTTTTCACTGTCAACACATACCTCTTCTGTTTCTTTTATAATCAGAATCCATCACACAGTAGGCCTACTAATTAAGTTATTTTTAATGTGCTTTTATTATTATTTTTAGAATTCTTTTTATCTTTATCTTCTGCATTAAATAAACTGTTTTCTGTATCTTTTATTTTTCCTCAATTTGCTTTCTCATTTTGGTAGGTGCAGTCCTTTTCTGAGAAAAGTGTACAGAAGAGATACATAAGGTTTTTGCGGTAGGGCATGTGTGCTCGCCAGAAAGACAGAGCGAGACAGAGAGACAGAAAGCGAGAAATCATCCTCCAGGGGGGATGGCCATGCTGCAATCCCTTCTCCATTCTCCTCTCGGGATCTTGGGCACACACGCACACGCGCCAGGCGTGAGTTTAAGCCACCAGGTCCAGGACTCGAACCGCAGTCGACTACATGGGAGTCCAGTGACATAGTCATTACTCTAACTGCTGGTCCCAAGAGGTACAGTTTTGAGACCTTGTGGATCTGAAAATGTCTTTTACTCTCATACTTGATTGATAATTTAGCTGTTTTTGCATTCCGAGTTGGAAATAATTTTTCCTCAGAATTTTTCTGTTTCTCTACCTTGGCTGCAGAATGATTGGAATCATGTGCAGAATTTTAAGACTATTAGTGTCTTAACTGCATCTTCAGAGATTTTGATTTAAGTAGTCATTACTTTTTGAAACATTCCAGGTGATTCTGATGTGCAGCATATGTTAAAAACCATGGCCGTACCTCCATGGTGTGTTTTGAAGCCTACTGCCAGTCTGACTGGTCTTTGTTAACAGGATCTTTTTGTTTTTTAAATTGCTGATGTTGTTATCTATATTGAGCAGGCACGTACAGTGTTTGTCTTTCATAGTCTGGCTGGCTTCCTGTAACATTAAATCTATATTTATCCACTTCGTATCAAATAACAGGGTCTCGTTGTTCCTTATGGCTAGGTAATATTCCGTAGTGTACATAGGCCACAATTTTCAATCCAGTCATTAGTTCTTGGGCAACTAAGGTTGACTCGTGTCTTAGCAATTGCGAATAATGTGGTAAAACATGGTTGTCCAAGTGTCTTTCCAACTGAGTATTTTCCTATCTTAGGGTAAATACCAAGGAATGGGATTATTGGATCATATGGAAGTTCTATTTGTAGGTTTTTGAGGCCCCTCTATATTGTTTTCTGTAGTAGCTGTACCAGTTTACATTCCCACCAGCAGAGTAAGAAGGTTCCCTTTTCATCATAGCCTCATCAACCCTTGTCATTCTTTAGAAAATTTTATTTTTAAAAGTTTTTTTTCTTTTATTCAGGTTTGTGATTTTTATGTTTTTGTAATCCAATAAAATAATAACTAACTTTTGTCAATTTAAGAATTTCCAAATTTAATCAAATAAATGCTAGTTTGAATTTTCCCGAAGACTTAGTAACCTGGGGAAAAATGCGTTGCCAAGAGTAGGTGGTGCATCAGTTTACTTGCTGATAATAAATGAGAAAAAGTTACTATGAAGCAGTTTACTAGATAAAGTAGTCAACCTGTTGGGTATTCCGTTTTAACATTTAATTATGAGATTAAAAAGTTTTTTGTTCATCTTCTTTCATTTTCAGAGAGTGCCTGATCTCACCAGAGAAAAATAACACCCCCAGTGAGGCGAGGCCATGCCACAGTCATTTTTCCCCATTTGTTCTTCCTGTCAGAATTTTGGGCATGCACACACACACGAGCCTGGCATGTTTCTTAAGTTACCAGGGCCGGGATTTGAAATGCGGTTGGCCATGTATGACCTGGCTTCCAGTGCTTAACTGCTGTACCACAGGGCCCTGTTTTTCATTCTTTCTACAAATGTCTAGATGTCTTTTTTTCCCCCCTGTTAGTTGTTTCTTTTTTTCCCCCATTTAAAAAATTTATAATCTATTTTATACATCTAATCACTACACATCACTCAGTTTGTAAGTTGAATTTACATGAGTACACTTCACACCAGTTCAGTTGAGGATACACATCATCAACAAATAATAATCTGTTCCTGTGTCCCATGAATGTCTTGCCTCTATTTTCTTCCACCTTCTAGATGTCTTTTTAAAAAACATTTTCTTGTTACACTTTTTTTCCTTCTTAAAAGAATTATTTATTTAATTTCATTTATTATTGTTGTTGTTATTTTTTTTTAATTTGACCAGACAGAGACAGAAAGAGAGAGAAAGGGAAAACAAGAGTGTAAGCTACGACAGCCGGGACTCCAAACCATGGTCGACCATGTGGGAATCCAGTGCCTTTGACCACTGTGCCACCAGCCAGCCCCTATCTTGTTACACTTTTAAAAAAGCATTTGTTTTGTTACTTCCTAGAGAGAGACAGACAGACAGACACACACAGAGAGAGGTAATGGGATAAATACAGGCACCCTCAGCAGGGTCTCATGCTGTAGTCCTCTCCCAGCTTCTCAGTCAGGCAGGATCTTGGGGGACATTCACATTCTTGGCATGTATAGGTAAATGCAGAAACCCAACCCTGATCTTCCACGTGGATTTTGCTTTGTGGAATGGTGTGCCACTGATGCAGCACTGCTGCATCACCACGACTGGTCCCTATTTTGAAATACTTCAAACTTACATGAAAGTTATAAGAATGGTATAAAGAACTTCCTTATACTTTTAACTTACACTTGTTAGTTGCAAAATAGTAATTTTAACCTTTTTCTTTTTTTTAGAGGTTTTTTTTTTTTTTTTTTTTTTTTTTTTTTTTTTTTTTTTTTTTTTGCTACTGGGTGCGTGCGCTCACCAGACAGAGAGAGAAAGAGACAGAAAGCGAGAAATCACCCCCCAGTGGGGATGGCCATGCTGCAGTCCCTTCTCCTCCATTCTCCTCTTGGGACCTTGGGCACTCACACACATGTACCTGGCGTGAGTTTTAAGCCACTGGGTCCAGGACTCGAACTGTGGTCGACTCCATGGGAGTCCAGCGACATAGCCATTACACAAACTGCTGGTCTCTTAACCTTTTTCTTAGTAAATATTTTCTGAGCCTGTGCTATGTATGAGGTCATTAATATTTGGTCAAGTATCAATCTCTGATATTTGATTAAATTAAAAGTTTAAAAAATATTGTGTATTCCTAATACGAGACTATTTTACTGAAAAAATAGCACATTTTTGTTTCTCATAACAGGCTACATTGCAAATTGATTTGTCTTTTCCTTTTTGCCTCTTTCAAGCAGGTCTAGAATAATATATTTATGCTAAAAAGAGCTTCAAACAGAATTCGTTATGCTATTGGATTTAATTTAGTTTTTGGTCTTGTCCAAGAGACACAGAATGAAAGTTAGTAAGTAGCCCCCATGGGAGATGGTCATGCCACAATCGATTCTCCTCCATTTCTCCTTTTGGGATTTTGGGCACACACACAAATGTACCAAGCATGTTTTCTAAGCCTCCAGCTCTGGGACTTGAACTATATAGTTGGTCATGTGGATCCAGCTTCCCCAACCACTGTGCCACCTCATACTGATATTTTTTTCATTTTAGGCTTGTTTGTTAGTGGTGACCATTACTTTGGCATATGGATGATTTTAATAGGATAGACCCTCTTTAAGGTAGAAAATGTAGTAATTCCATGATACGGAGGAGAATTCTTCATACACTCTTGATGCTTTATTTAATCATAAAGATATGTCTTATTTTCACCCATTTAACTATAAGGAGAATTTTAAGGTTACCAAACTTTAATAAAGATCCTTATGTACTTTTAAATGATAATGATTAGGGCTAATGTAAAATTACTTTTTATTAATTAACATTTTTCTTTTGCAGTGGAATAATAAGCAGAAATAAGGCTTTATTCAAGAAACCATTTTTAAAATTTATAGCTGCTACTCCAATGGTAAACCATTGCTGAATGATGGCATGTGCTTTACCAAGATTTGATCATCTTTTGTGTTTTACAACTTGGGCAGCACTAAGGCACTTTGTTTTTATGCATTTACACCTCTAAACTTTCCGTACCGTCTTAATAGAATTGCTTAATGTCTCTAATGTTCTTATTGTTGTGAACATTTTTGTGTGTGGTTCTATTTTTACACTCTTCTAGTTCAACTGCCCTTTTTTTTTGACTATTAATTTTTCCCAGAGTCTAAAGTAACATCCCCAAAGTATATTCAGTGGATTTCAAACTATGACAGTTAGTGCTACATGCTACAAACCCCTCTCATAGACTTACAGTGCACATGTTATACATTGAAAGCTTTGAGAAGGTCTTTGATAAAGATGGTGTTTAGCTGTATTTAACCCACATTTCCCCAAGTTTCTTTATCTACTTTCTCATTAAAAGAAAATTATTTCTTGGGATCAGCAGTTGGCATAATGGTTACGCTGCTAGACTCCCACGTGGGTGACTATGGTTCAAGTCCCGGACCCGGTGGCTTAAAACTCACACCAGGCACATGTGCGTGCATGCCCAAAATCCCAAGAGGAGAATGGAGGAGAAGGGATTGTGGTGTAGCCATCCCTCTGGGGGATAATTTCTCACTTTCTGTCTCTCTGTCTCTGGTGAGCACATGTGCCCTATAGCCCCCCCCCCAAAAAAAAAAAACTCTTTAAAAAACAAAGAATTTTTTTCTCTATTATTTTTGTCACTTTGTGTGGAGAGTTAGAGTTAAATCATTAGTCCAGTATTTCTCAAAATATAGCTTTCTACATTTAGGAGTATCAATTAGTATTATTTGAGAAAAATAATTCTGTGCTCAGATAAATTCTCTTTAGTAGATCACAAAAATATTCTACTCCAAGGTCCTTTACTTATACTTGTTTTCAAACTTTTTAATAAAGTAGTGGATTTATCACTCTATAAAGTCTTAATATGTTGGGGTTTTTTGTTTGCTTTGTTGTATTTTGTTCTTGCTCTAGGGTTTGTGTACTTGCCAGTGAGCAAGAGAGACAGAGAAAAAGAGAGAAAGGGAAAGGGAGAAATCACACCCTCTTCCCCCATGACCATGCCACAATTCTTTCCCCTCCATTCTCTTTTTGGGATTTTGGGCACACATGCACATGCTCCTGGCATGATTTTCAAGTCACCTGGTCCAGGACTTGAACTGTGGAGTCAGCTATGTGAGATTCATCCACCGTAACCTCCATACCACTGCTGGTCCCTTAATACATATTTTAAAACTAGGAAAATATGTAAAACAAATAATGTGGGGGCTTCAAAAAGTTTGTGGAAAAAATGGTACAAGTTTATTTTGGTATAAAAAGAGTTTTTGAAATCTGTACATTTTTTCTCCATGGTACTGTTTTCTGTGATCTGTTTGAAGACTCATAAGGGTAAGCAAAAGGGGAGCTGGTCTAGTCAAAGTGTTTTAAGGGACTGAAGCCTCCATAGAATAATTCTGAGGCTGATGACCCTCGCTGATCTATTCTCTGATCTGTCATTAGTCCCAGGCTTGGCAAACTAGGTCACATCTACTGTCTCCAGTCTGTTTTTATAAAACTATTAGAACATAGCCACACACTCCTGACTGCTTTTGTTGCACGCTTATTCCTGACTGCGTTTGTTCTACTGTAGCAGGAACTGTTCTCCTGTGGAAGAGCAGTAGAGATGGAGACATGGTCTATAAAGCCTAAAACATTTACCATGCTCTGGACCCTTCGTACAATAGTAAAAGTTTCCTGATCTCCCCATAGCCTTATTCCCCTGCTATTGGTTCATACAAATGAGAATCAAGATGTTAAAGTATATAAAGCAAACAAACAAATGCTACTTTGTTCTCTCCATAGCAACTCATTTTTGGGGCTATGAAGTTAATTGTTTCACCATCAGAATTTTGTTAGTGTAAGCAAAATTACCATTTTCCCCTAAGGAGTGGACTAGTTATCATTCTTACTTAATTTTGCCATTACAGAGTGAGGTTTAAGCAAGTTGTTTAAAAGATCGTTTCAAAAATTGTTAATGTGTTTTTGTAAGAAAATGTCTTTTAGAATCTTTTTTCTAATCTCTTGATTCAATAGAAATTTCTAAGAGTAATTTTAGAGATTTTAAAGATGTTTTCTTAGTGTTATGTTTGCTGCTTTCGCAACTAACGTATTGCATGTGGTGGTTTGCAGTGGTATCATTGGTCGTAGCAGAAAAGATTTCAAAAGATACTTATTCAACTTCATCGCTGCCATGCCTCTCGTAAGTTTAATTCTTTGAAAAATCTTTTTTATACATAGGGAAAATTTCCATCTTACTAAAATCTATAAGCATATTTATAAAATTTCTTAAGAGTCATAATGCCTATTTCAAATATAGTTTTGTAATTTATGGCATTTTCTGATGTAAACATTTACAATAGATAGGAAAATTAAAAGGGGTTATAGTGGGTCCTTTTTCATTTGTGGTATACATATGTGGGTGGGTTTTTTTTTTGTTTTAATCTTCATCTTCAAGTCAAGTTTTCTCCAGTGGTTAGCTGGCCTCCTATTAGAAGGCAGTAGCCCTCCTCTCATATTTATGACAACCAAAAATATTTTCAGACATTGCCAAATCGGAGGTGTCAGGAAATGAGTCACTTTATGTGAGAGTTAAATTACTTTAGGCCATAGACTGTTATTAAAAACTTGAATCACTGAAGTAGTTTAAGTTAAATTGGAATTATGACATGAAATTATTATTATTTAAATAATTTTTTTATTTAACTTTATTATTTGTTTTTATTTTATTTTTTAATTTGACCAGAGATGGACAGAGTGAGAGAGAGAGAGAGAGACAGAGAGGGAAAGTGAGAAAGCAAGTTGCTAAGTTCAGAACTCAAACCATGGCCGGCCATGTTGGAGTCCACTGCCCCTAACCACCATGCCACCTGCTGGCCCCATGACATGAAATTATTAAAAATGTTTAGTCTAAAACACAAAAATGATTTTCTTTTTTCTTTCTTGGTTCATTTGAAAAATATTATTTGCCCTAAGAAAACTTGAGTATTCTAAATTGAGGGTGAAAAAGAGAGACATGTTTGTAAATTCTAATTAAATTGAAAATACTTTAGACATTCTAGTTTAATAAAGCTTAAAGATGGGCATGTAAAGTTTTTGAACTTTTAAAAATAAAACATTGACTTTACTCTCTATATTTGGCCTCACTGCTGTTATATCTTCTAATCTCTCAGTTTCTGCTGTAGAGTGCAGCCATTCAGTATATACATTGTGGGACATGCAATGCCTGCCTTTCATAATCTGGCTTGCTTTGCTTTGCATTAAATCTCCCATATTTGTCCACTTTATAGCAAATACCACGATCTCATTGTTTTTTATAGCTGAATACTATTCCATAGAGTACATGTGCCACATTTTTTCCAATCTTCTTGTCTATTCTTGGACATTTGGTTTGATTCAGTGTCCTAGCAGTTGTGAGTAATGCTGCAATAAACATGGATGTGCAAGTGTTTTTCCAACTGAGTGTTTTCCTATTTTTTAGGTGTTTGTCTAGGAGTGGAATCACTGGGTCATATTGGTAGTTCTGTTTGTGGGTTTCTGTGGAACTTTCAGATTGTTCTCTTTTTTTTTTTTTTGGAAGAGGTTTTTGCTATAGGGTGCGTGCGCTCGCCAGACAGTCAGAGAGACAGAAAGCGAGAAATCACCCCCCAGGGGGCATGGCCACGCTGCAGTCCCTTCTCTTCCATTCTCCTCTCGGGATCTTGGGCATGCACGCACACGCGCCCGGTGTGAGTTTTAAGCCACTGGGTCCAGGGCACGAACCGCGGTCGACTACGTGGGAGTCCAGCGACATAGCCATTACGCTAACTGCTGGTTCCCATATTGTTCTCCATAGCAGTTATACATCTACACGTCTACCAACAGTGTAGAAGGGTTCCTCTTTCTCTGCAGCTTTACCAGCCCTCCTCCTCTTCCTCCTCCTCCTCTTCCTTCTTCTTCTTCTTTTTTAATCTTAACCATTCTGATTGGGGTTAATTGGTATTTTATCGTGGTTTTGATTTGCCTTTCCCTTATAATAAGAGACACTGAGCATTTTTTCATATGCTTTTTTGGCTGTTCATATGTCTTTCTTGGAAAGTTGTCTGTTGAGCTAATTTGTCCATCTTTGGATCAGATTTATTATTATTTTTTTATTT